ATATATATATATATATATATATATATATATATATATATATATATATATATATATATATATATATATATATATATATATATATATATAGGTAAACCGCTCGATTTACCTCTATACGGGGCGATGTCGTAGATAAAAAAAAATAGTGATGTTGCCTCCCTTCTTGGGCGATGTCGCAGATTAAAAAAAAAAAATTACGACGTCGTAGATAAAAAAAAAATTTTGCAGGCGATGTCGCTTGAGAAGAGAAGAAAAAAAAAAAAATCTTTGCCTCTATTTGCCTCGTGATGCTGATGCCTCTTCTCCCGTGCACGAATGAGAAGTCGCCGACAGACGAGGAGGAGAGTGGTGATATCCAGGTTCTCCCTTTTTTTTCCTATTTCTTTCTTCCCCTTCTCCCTCTTCTTTCTTCTCCCTCGATCACTGTCGACAATAATGCCTCAATTGACGACGATAACGCCTCAATCGATGGTACCGCTCGGTAGTGGGCGGTTTGTGTACCAGTATGCTGACGGACCGGTATGTACCGCTCGGTATGGGCAGTATCATTCGGTATTGACCAAAAACATTGAATTGACAAAAAATCGATCAAATTTCGATTAAATCATCATTAAAATCAGTAATCGCAGCATTAAATAACTTTAATAAAACCTAATTAAACCTATTTTACCATCATTAATATATAAAACATATAAAAAAATATTAAATACGTAATTTTGATCCAATATACATCTAGTTATGATGAAATCATCATTAAATACACTAATCACACGATTTAATGATGATGAAATCATCATTAAATGCATAAATATATGAATCATCGTTAAATCCCATTAATTACTTCTTTTTCAATAATATAAACATGTCAAACACCTTAATAGGTATTAAAGATAATGAATTGACCCAAAATTGATCAAATTTCAATTAAATCATAATTAAAATCACTAATTGCAGTATTAAATAACTTTAATAAAACCTAATTAAACCTATTTTACCATCATAAATATCTTTTAATATTTAATATACATGAAATATAAACATTTGACCTATTAAGTATCTAATTTTGAATTAATCAATATTAAATACACTAATCGTAATATTAAAGATCTTAATTACTTTTTAATTAAAGAAAGAGAATACATACCTCTTGATTAAAAAGTTCTTCCTTTGAATCCTCCCAAATTCACCATAATTCAATTCATAAATCGTTGCTTTATAGAGTTTAGAAGAGTGCAAATGTGAGAATAAAAAAGAGAATGTGAGAAAAATAAGTTTGAGATAATTTAAGAGAGTACGAGAGTAAAATAGAGTAAAATAGGAGGGAGGATGAGTTTAAAAACCCGTGAGAAAGGGCTCCAACGGTCAATTTGACCGTTGAAACACTATTACATGTAAGTAATGATCGATTTCAATCATTATTGGCCTGTAACGGTTGAAATTTCGACCATTACTAA